AAGCCAGTCGAATCCGACTCTAGGGTTGCGGTGCTCATCTCCGTTTCAAAGCCGAAGAGCCAGCGCTGTCCGAAGACGTTTCCGTGGTCATGTGGCCGGCATGACTAAACACCAAGGCGCACGGAACGCTGTTACCTTCCCACCGAAGTGGTCCCTATTTATCTACTTGCAATTTCTTGCTTTCGAACTGCTAGGTTGGCAGGAGCTGGAACTAGAGACGGGAGCTCACTCCATCATGCGGCACACTCGGGTCTCGAACTGCTGAACTACCAACCTTCCACAGCCTGCAGTTCAGCGTCTTAACCTCTTGAGCCACCGCAGCTCCTAACTCTCATTTTACTCGCTGGTAAATTCCTATTTCTTCTGGGTTTCTTCCCTGTTCTGCAGTTGCTTTCCCCCCCTCTAGTGGTCGGTTCGATATCAGTACAGGTTTATTTCCAGCATAAAAACCTGCAGTTTAAAGCTGTTTCTGCACCCGATGTTTCCTCTGTTTTCTGTCCACTTCTTTCACCTTTTATATTTGGTTCTGGCATTTCCTCCCACTTCCACCTCACATGTGCGTCGGCTATTACTGCTGCTACCGCATTCCTTTTCGCCCATTCCGCTTTCAGTTCGCTGTATCACAGGCTTTTTTGGATCGATTTTTTTTTTTTTGCCGTGGGCCTTTCTCTTGCTCCACTTCCAAGTCCAGGGTACGTCTGGTCAGTGTTCCCTCTAAGCTGAGTGAGTGTGGGCTAGCTCACAGTTTTTTAGCCTCCGGCTCACACCTTTTAGTCTTCGCTCAGGAAGGGATGGCTCCAGAGCAAACTGATTTCTGCAGCAGCCAAATTGCTCGCTCGCAACTTTAATGCCAGTCGCTCACCAAGTGGAACTTTTGCTCACAAGACTCCACAGCTTAGAGGGAGCATTGCTGATGCAGACATTATCCCGCGGATACTGCATCACCACCCAGTTCCTGCCCCTCTTCCTTTTTTTTTTTTAAAATCATCGACTCCGATGGGAAGAAGACTTAAATCAGAAACGGGGAAACGCAGACTGGGAATCAATCTGGGCCTCACCAGTGAATACATCTGCTATTTACAACTTACGTCCAATGCTCTCTAAGCTGTGGAGTCTTGTGAGCAAAAAAAATTATTTTGTGAGCTACTGGCATTAAAGTTGTGAGCGAGCGATTTGGCTACTGCGTGAATCAGTCTGCTCTGGAGCCATCCCTTCCTGAGCTAAGACCGGGGAAACGCAGACTGGGAATCAATCTGGGCCTCACCAGTGAATACATCTGCTATTTACAACTTACGTCCAATGCTCTCTAAGCTGTGGAGTCTTGTGAGCAAAAAAAATTATTTTGTGAGCTACTGGCATTAAAGTTGTGAGCGAGCGATTTGGCTACTGCGTGAATCAGTCTGCTCTGGAGCCATCCTTCCTTCTACCATGCCCCCCCCCCAGCCTGCCATGCCCTGAGAAGCCTGGCGGCGAGCCGAAGGGGGTGGACTTCTCTGCCACAGCTCCCTCCTTTCCCCTGCCTGCCTGCCTGCCACTCCAAGCGCGGCATGCCTGAGTAGCCGCTCGGCCAATTTCCTCCCCCCCGCCTCATCGGTAGAAAGAAAATGTAACTACGGAATCCAAAGAAAAGGGAGGGTACTGCAGAATGACATGAGATGTTAAGAGAGAGGGAGAGACCAGGATGGGAATCCTAAAGCTTTGAAAATGGGTCTTGATGTCATGCCTTTGTGAACAAAGAATGGGGGGGGGAGAGATTATTGACAGCAGACAACCCCCTGGTCCTTGGCAATATGGGAAAATGGGGATTTCTGGCTGCTTGTAAATTGCAGGGAAAGGTCTTGTCAGTTTCAAGAGGGGGGGGGTATGCCCCTTTTGCCTGTTAAGCAGAAACCACAATAAATAAACCGGAGGGGGGGAAACGGTGCAGAGGGCACCCATGCAAATCCAAACTCAAGCTTTAAGGCTTGACTGCTCAGAATCTCTGGAGTTAAGCGTCAGTGCAGAAAGGGCCTCTATCTATAGGGGGATATGCTAAAAGTAAACCAAATAGATCACTAAAAAGGTAAAGGTTTCCCTTGCTCGAAAGCCAGTCGAATCCGACTCTAGGGGGCGGTGCTCATCTCCATTTCCAAGCCGAAGAGCCAGCGCTGTCCAAAGACTTCTCCGTGGTCATGTGGCCGGCATGACTAAACGCCGAGGCGCACGGAACGCTGTTCCCTTCCCACTGAAGTGGTACCTATTTATCCACTTGCAATTTCTTGCTTTCGAACTGCTAGGTTGGCAGGAGCCGGGGCCAGAGACGGGAGCTCACTCCGTCACGCGGCGCTACGGTCTTAACCTCTGAGCCACCGCGGCTCAAACAGATCACTAGAAGGAGCAAAACACCAGTGGAACAGACCCCCCCTCCCGCAAAGAAACAGGAACTTACTGGCGAGTAAAATCAGAGTGCAGAAAAGCCCAACGAAGGCAGAGATTTGGGGGGAGGGTGGTGTTTGTTATTGTATTTTTGGCTTTACTTGGAAACGTTTTTAACTATTATTGTATGCTGCCTTGAGGAGCTGCGGTGGCTCGAGTGGTTAAGACGCTGAACTGCAGGCTGTGGGAGGTTGGTAGTTCGGCAGTTCGAGAACCGAGTGCCGAGTGCCACGTGACAGAGTGAGCTCCCGTCTCTGGCCCCAGCGCCTGCCAACCTAGCAGTTCGCAAGCAAGAAATTGCAAGTAGATAAATAGGTACTGCTTCGGTGGGAAGGTAACAGCGTTCCGTGCGCCTCGGCATCTAGTCATGCTAGTCACATGACCATGGAAACGTCTTTGGACAGCGCTGCCTCTTCGGCTTAGAAATGGAGATGACAACCAGGCCCTCTCGTCGACTGGCTTTCGAGCGAGGGAACCTTTACCTTTACCTTTAAGCTGCCTTGAACCACAAGGAAAGGCAAGATATAAATGTTATTAATAAATAAATACAAGTTTTCCTTTGGAAGCTTGCTTGGCAGTGGCCGTCGATAACAAGGATGCATTTTAATCTGCTACTAGGAAGAGACGCTGATGGGGCTAGTCATCTGCAACAGACAGTGTCGCCCATTAGCACCCCCTGAACCGGCAGCCATCTCGAAACCTCTCCAGGGGGCCTGCTGATAGCACAACTCCGAAAGCAAAGAAGAAGAAGAAGAAGAAGAGATTGGATTTATACCCTGCCCTTCACTTGGAGTCTCAGAGCGGCTTACAAACTCCTTTCCCTTCCCCTCCCCACAACAGACACCCTGTGAGGTGGGTGGGGCTGAGAGAGCTCTTGACAGAAACTGCTCTTTTTCAAGGACAGCTGTGCCAGAGCTTGCGACTGACCCAAGGTCACATCAGCAGGTGCAAGTGGAGGAGTGGGGAATCAAACCCGGTTCTCCCAGATTAGAGTCCGTGCACTTAACCACTACACCAAAAGGCCCCGCGCGCAGAACCAGAGCCGTGCCACCGTTTCATGCTGTTGCAAAATGACTTTGTAGCACACACACATTTACGAAGGGCTGGCTTCCGCTTACCTTGTTGACAGGAACCTCTTCATTCGCCGCAAGGGGTACAGGCGCCATGTTCACGTCAAATGTGCTGTATTCAGGAAGGGCATCTCGTAAATACGTCAGGTTCTCATCCAATCTCTTCTCCAGCTTCAGAACCTTGATCTCTTGGATCAGAGGGTTGTATATCTCGAAGCAGATTTCAACTCCTAGAATGGAAAAAGACACGTCTTTAGTCTGGTTTGATTTGCACAGGGATGCGCCAGTCTCTGAGAAGTAAGGACCCTCGTAGGGTCCAAGTTTGGTTTGTGTAAAAATACGACTTTTGGAATCACACAGCTGCAAGAAGAATGAATTAATTGAGAGCCAGGGTGGTGTGGTGGTTAAGAGTGGTAGACTATAATATGGGGAACCGGGTTTGATTCCCAGCCCCTCCTCCACATGAAGTCTGCTGGGCGATTTTGGGCCAGTCACAGTTCTCTCAGAACTGTCTCAGCCCCCCCTGCCTTGCAAGGTGACTTCTGTGAGGGGGAAGGAAGGAAAGGCAACTGTAAGCGGCTTTGAGACTCCTTAGGGTAAAGAAAAGCAGGGTATAGAAAACTGAGTCAGAAATAAAAATCAGAGCTGCACATCGAGATCTCTCTGGATATCAGCCTAACCCTTCTTGAGACTGGGTCAGCTATACAATGCATCCCTTCAGCAAAACTTATGATACCAACATGCACAGTCATATTAAACGCAGCTCCCAGCAACATTTAGATTCCTCACTTGCATCCGAATAGCTCGATTATACTACAATAAGGGTCATAACTAGAAATAAATGCATGTATGTAAAGTACTGTCAAGTTGCAGCCAACTTATGGGGACCCCTCGTGGGGCTTTCAAGGCAAGAGACGTCCAGAGGTGGTTTGCCATGGCCTGCCTCTGCGTAGTGACCCTCGGTGGTCTCCCATCCAAACAGTGACCAGGGCCGATCCTACTCAGCTTCTGAGATGAGCTGAGATCGGGCCAACCTGCACCATCCAGCTCAGGGCACTGGAAATAAGTGCTGGAATTTATTTCCACCACAACTGCATACACACGAACACACGGATCTGCCTTATAGTGAATCAGACTCTTGGTCCATCAAGGTATTGTCTACTCAGACTGTCAGTGGCTCTCCAGAGTCTCAGGACGAGGCCTTCCTAGGGCCCAATATGTTTTAAACGGGGGAGGCTAGAACCCGGAAACTTCGGTGTGCCGAGCAGATGCTCTGCCACTGAGCCACGGCCCCTCCCCAATATTGCTCCCCGAGCGCAGGCTGAGTCAACGTTTGCTTCCAGCAGCTCCACCCAGTTTGGTGTAGTGGTTAAGTGCGCAGACTCTAATCTGGGAGAACCGGGTTTGATTCCCCACCCCTCCACTTGCACCTGGCTGGACGACCTTGGGCAAGCCGTAGTTCTGGCAAGAGCTGTCCTTGAAAGGGCAGTCCTCGAGAGAGCTCTCTCAGCCCCACCTACCTCGCAGGGTGTCTGTTGTGGGGAAGGGAAGGGAAAGGAGTCTGTACGCTGCTCTGAGACTCTGAGTGAAGGGCGGGGTATAAATCCAATCTCCTCCTCCTCCTCCACCCATCTTGAGGCCGAATGCCGCCTCTTTCAAGGGACGCATTCAGACGTGCACCTACCCTGCCCCTCTATTATGTTCCGAAGTTTGAAGGTGGCTCCGAGCCCCTTTCCGGAGTACTGGATGCAGATGCCTACAAACGTGTTCTTCTTTCCATGGGCGTAAGGGTCTGCTGCCGTCACGGAGAGGATGCTCCCTGCCGGAAAAGAAAGAACAGCTATTTTTAATGCCAGCATCGCTGCCAGTCAACAATAACACTACAATATACGATATAAAGCTTAGCAGTACATACAAAGTAATACAGTTACTAGTTACAGACAAACGACGGAGTTCTAGTACACTATCCGTTTGCGTGTCCTTCATGAGGTTTGTCATTCTGTAAATATTTCTTCATTAGCATGAAGTGCTGCAAGCCTATTTCAAAATGCTAGTTCTTATACAAATTTTGATGTACGCTACCGCACTTAGATTCTGGTGACTGGGGAGCTCCTATAGCAAGCTCTAATGTGACTGGGTCTACAGCATATAATAATTGGCTAAGCTTCCCTCAGTCAGACATTACTTTGTATGTACTGCTAAGCTTTATATGATATATCGTAGTGTTATTGTAATCTTGTTAATAATTGAATTCGAAACATTGCATATAAAAACTAACAGATATTGTTAAATTGTACACGGTGATCTAATGTTTTACTGAAATGCATATGGGGCATAAAGGGGCAGAGCTATGATTTCAGGACAGATGGTGCCTATGGATTTTCTCCCTTTGAGGAAATGTGTGAAAGCTTTGTTTGCTCTAAAACTAGAAACTGTTTATAACAGCAACTGCTGTTTGTTTAGTGACACAGATACCATAATGTGTCTGTAACGATTCCTTGTTTTTTTTTGTGTGTGTCTCTTTAAAAGTTTGGTTGCATGGCTGTAGTAGATAGAGTGGTTGAGAGAGGCAAGTGTGGTATGATTGGTGGTTGACAGAGGGGGAGTTGAGGTAGTTCAGTGAGACAGAGAAACAGAAAGGAAAGCTGAGTGTATAGGAAAAAGTAAATGAAAGTTTAAATGAAGACAAGTTATAGGAAAGGCTGTATGTCCTGATAAACTGGAGAGAAACAGTGAACATATATGACCTTGAGTTAAACAAGTGTTACAAAGTTACCTGAAAGATCCCTGTCAGTGAGGGATAAGATTGTGTGATACCAAAGCAATTGTTCATCATTTATACATTACTAGTTACATTGTACAACCCTCTTATTTAGTAGTTATTTCAATAAATCATCTTTCCTCCAAGTTTATACCAGCTCTGAATGAAATACTTCCGAGGACCACATAGATCCCTGTAAGCCTTGAACTTGGTCTACCAAATAAAGAAGAGCAATAGTAAAAGCATAAAGGTTTGGAAATCCTTAAAATTTCTTGGTGGCAGCCTTATATACCCAGTAAAACCAAATAAAGAACACTTTTAAAGTGAAACTAGTCCTCCCCAATAAGGAGGACATCACAGTGTCGCTTACCCCACTCAGGTGTTCGTGGTCTATTGCTGCTAATACAGTTTTATTATTCGCGCTGATATTTCATTTGTTTTGCTTTTCTGCAAAAGCATTATCCTATACATTTTTAATTATCAAGATGCATTTTAATACATTCACATTAATCAAGCCCATGAACATTCCCTGCAGCACTTTAGCCAGTAATTTTCCACGCTAACCCTCAACATAGTTGGATATTGGTACACAGCTCTGTATCACACCAAAAACAGTGTGTGTGTGTGGGGGGGAACCCAACCCAAAAATTGAATACCACGAAGGTTGAGCAAAAACAATATAAAAATGAATCAAAGAAAACAAATCAATCTATTATACAGTGCACTTAAAATACAAATTTTAAAACGTAGGCCTTGAATTTAGCCTTTAGACTGAAAGCCACTGTACTGAGTAGTCCTCACCAATGTTCCCTCTAAGCTATGGAGTCCTGTGAGCAAAAATTCTACTTTGTGAGCTACTGGCCTTAAAGTTGTGAGCAAGTGATTTGGCTACTTCATAAATTAGTTTGCTCAGGAGCACTGTACTGAGTGGTCCTCGCTACCCAATATATAGTACAGATAGGGTCGTCAAGTCCCCTCAGCCACCAGTGGGGGTAGGGGATCCCAGTTCCAGGCTGGGAAACTCCTGGAGATTTGGGGGTGGAGCCTGGGGAGGTCAGGGACCTCAGTGGGGTTCGATGCCACAGAGCCCACCCTCCAAAGCAGCCATTTTCTCCAGGGAAGCTGATCTCTGTAGTCTGGAGATGAGCTGTAATTCCAGGGGATCCCCAGGCCCCACCTCGAGGCTGGCCTCCCTAAGTACAGATGAGTTTCTCAAAGCTGATGATACACAAGCAAGACCACATTAAACCTGACTCAATGAGTATCTCAGAGCTGATAGTCCACAAGCAAAGCCACAGGAAACAAGACCAAACGTGTGTTGGCCTTCTTCAGAGGCCAGAAATACATACATACAAACCAAGAACAAGTGTTGAGGCAATTAGCCAGAGCAGCTCTTAACTGTTTCCTGAGACGTGAAAAATGAAAATAGAAAGCATTTTTTAAAATAGAACAGAAAATGCCAAAATTAATTTAAAATAAAAATCGAAAAATACTTGCTAGGAAGAAATATAAATAATCACTCGCGTGCACATTTTATTGTGTGTGGCCAAATGGTGACATTATAAAAGATCATGGATCTTGTCCAACGATTTTCATGCTCACGCATAAAAAAAATGTAAGATTGTAAAGCCAGTTTGGTGTAGTGGTTAAGAGTGCAGACTTTAATGTGGGAGAACCGGGTTTGATTCCCCACTCCGCCACATGCAGCTGCTGGTGTGACCTTGGGTCAGTCATAAGTTCTTTCAGAGCTGTTCTCTCAAGGGCCGTTCTCAAGAGACCTCTCTCAGCCCCACCTACCTCAGAGTCACAGGATGTCTGTTGTAAGAAGGGGGAGGAAAAGGGATTGTAAGCCGCTCCGAGACTCCTTCGGGTAGTGAAAGGCAGGGTATAAACCCAATCTCCTCTTCTTCTAAACTGTATACTGAGGATTACGAAGTCTGATGGCTTTCACCCTAAAGACTAAATTCAAGGCCTATGTTTTAAAATTTGTATTTCAAGTGTATTGTGTAATAAACTGATTTATTTGCTTTCATTTTTATATTGTCTTTGCTCAACATTCTCGGCACCTAGCACAGTTATTTATTATGTTTGATATCTAGAATGACAGGTGATCCAACCACTGTTTGTTAACGTCCCTTAAACTGAATGCACAATGCCACATTTAGGAATTTTCAGCACAATCTTTTCCGGTACCCAACATCACCATTATGCTGTTTGTGTTCTAGACCTCTTACTGACCCACGTAGAACTCTGGGATGTTCAGTACTTTTCTCCTCTGGATCATATCTCTTCTTTCAAGGTAGAACAATAACGGATTTTTTCTTCCTCGGCGAGGAATGAATTCAGAACCCAAGAATCTGTCAGATACATTACATTAAAGCAATTAAGACATGGTGCCTTGTCATTCTGTGTCTCAGAAAGCATCCGCATAGTTTATTTAGAAAAATGACTGAGCCACCTGTCCAGGGAACCTGCCTGCCCAAGGCATCGTAGAAAATAAACACAATAAGAGTTGATTAAAATTTGACATTAAAAAACCAGCCAGAGCATAAAAACACTCAATGGCTTAAAATTCATTTCTGAAGAATTCTCGGGCTAAAAAAGACACTATAAAAACTAAGTGAAAAGAAAACTCCTTAATTAAAAGCCAGGGTAAACAGGAACGCAAAGCACCAGGCAAACCTCAAGGAGGAGGAGGAGGAAGAGAAGAAGAAGGAGGAGGAGGAAGAGATTGGATTTATACCCTGCCCTTCACTACCCAAAGGTGTCTCAGAGTGGCTTACAAACTCCTTTCCCTTCCCCTCCCCACAACAGACACCCTGTGAGGTAGGTAGAGATGTAAAATTTCTGGAAAGTTTCGGAAAAATTGAAAAAAATGCTACATTAGCATTTCTCTTGTCTTTTCTAGATTGAAAGTCATTCTGTTACTTTAGGAACATAAAATATGACTATGGACATTTTTACTTCGCATGAAATTATCACAACTAGC